TAAACCACATGATTAACGAGAAAAAATGAGCAGCTGAAGTAGTAGAAGAGCAAAAACGGCGCAAGTTATTTGATAAAATTTGATGTAACGATCTTTTAATTTACAGAAGTATTTATGATAGTTGTGAAATATTGTTACTAGAATTTACACATTTCTTTTCTAGTATGCAAAGTTTCCCGACACAACAAGGAATGACGAAATGTAATAAACCTTTTACATGATTAACTAGTAGAAATTATTACAATTAGTTTAACGCAAAACCAAACAATAGTGAAAAACACAAATTCTTTACCGTATACCTTTCACGAATTGTGCTATGTCTATAAATATGACAAGTATTTTTCGCTTTATTTGATGAAATACTGATGTCTAAGGGTCAAACTTACTTCCGAGAGCGTTGATAATTTGTTTGCATCAAGCGAGAGTTCTTTTAACGATGGAAGATTTGATAAAACATCAGGAAATTCTATGAATGAATTTGATCCGAGATCAAGACATTCAAGTTTAACTAATTTCGACAATGTTACTGGTAGTAAACGTAGACGTGTCGCTCTCAATTCTAAAACATATAATTCTGTAAGACTAAAATAAGAAAAGGACGAATTCAAATCCAGACTGAATCAACGGCAAAAATTCTTACCGTCCAAAATTTCCAGGCAAGAATTCTAATAAAGTATCGTTTAAATACAACTTTTTCAAGTTAATCAACATAGTGGAATCTTCGCATAGTCTATAAAACAAAAAAAATTTCATTATGTGCATAAAAGAAGAAAAAGTTGAACAAAAACCTTTCTAATCGATTTGAACTACAATCAATACTCTGTAAATGTTTACAATAACGAATATTATCGGGTAATGAAGACAAATCTAAAATATGTAGATTATATACGTAATAGAAATAAATAAATGACAATGGATAATCGTACCATTTTTACTCAAATCAATATCTTCCAGACTGATAAGACTCGATATTGATGGTGGTATGGATGTTAGTTCGTTATCGCATACATTTAAATGTTTCAATCCGTGACATTGAAATAACCACTAAAAGATAAGATTGAAACTATTAATACAGAATGCACTATCTAGTTTAGTTTAATCTATATTCATTCATCACCTGAAATAAGCATCACAGATAGCCAAGAATTGTACTTGACTATCTGAAGAAACACAACATAGACAAATGGGAATAGCCACAAAATAAAAAAATATCGTTTTAAAGAAAAAAAAGGAAAAATAAAAAGAAAGAGAGGAGGTAGAAAAAAAAAGAGTAGAGGAAGTAGGGGATATCCACAGTAAGTTAGTTGTTAAATCGTTTTGAGTATTCAATAAATTTTATAACAGCAGAATAGATTGCAGAGTATTCATCATATTCAAACCTATTTTTTAATAGCAGATTTTTAACATCGATCCTAATTCTCCGTGGTATAGAGTCAGTGATCGTATTCGCCATCATAGTACGATAAGGCACAAATAAATGACAATGAAGAAGAAAATGTTCCACTGTTTCAGTTACACCACATTGACAGAGATTACTTCCAATTAGGTGTTTTCGAAAAAGGTGAGAATTTAGGTCAGAAAAAACACATCTTAACTGGTAATAGATTTGATCATACTTTCTGTTCACATTGTAGATTCTAAATACTTATATTACTTTCCATCAAAATTAATTTATTTTTAAACTCTTTTCTTTTCGTACATGATCTCAGATTATTATTTAACTTATTCCACTCAAGTATAAAACGAGAAAAGAAAGACATTTCAAACCTCTTTGAACCTGTCAGTGTATTTAGTTTGTTGGATGTTTGAGAACGCAAAGCGTGATGGAAATTTGTGTTTTTTATTAGTTTATTCTGTAAGTGTTCAGGTGTTAGTTCCATTAATATTTTAAACCCTAGTAATAAAACATTGTTCAGAAAAGTTCGTTCGATGTATAACCACCCCAAACAGTGTAACATCTTATGCTTATCCGTTAAACGTTTACACTCGGAAACTAGACACGCAAATTTATATTAAAGAGAAAAAATAGGACTGAGATCGGTTTTATGCGTTGAAGAATAAATGACAGATGCGTATATAAACGCACTATCTACATTCGTACATACACATAACTATACCTTTGGCAACTCCTGTAAACAATTTGAATCAAGGTATAATTCTTCGAGTGAATGTTCATAATTCATAACATCATCTGGGACATTTAATAAATTAGAATGGCTATAATGAAGAACAGTGGCATCGTTCTGACGTTTTCGTCCATTACATTTGCATTTGTTTAAAATAGCCAATCTAAACGAAAAACTGAGTTATTAAATAATGAGTTTGAGATCATTATCGTTTCATTTGATCATTCAATAATAAAGAACTTAAAACTAACCTAATTTTTTTAGCTATTGATGCCGAAAATGAGATCGGTATTACCTATAATTGTCTTTTTCTAGAAAGAAAAAAGTAGAATAGCTTGGACAAATAAAGAGACATGTTTTTTTGCATTATATATTTCCTCATCTAGTTAGCTCTCACAGGTTCTATGGTCAAAAACAGGACCGAAGACAAGTTTAAAAAAAAGCTGATTGAGAACTATTGATTGGAGACGAAGATTATTAATAATCATCCATCAACACAGAAAGCTGTTTAAATAGTATTTCTCATTAATCAGGAAATAGACAGCACATTTTAATGAAGGAAGAATGCATTCTTTCAGAGGTAAGATTTCATACTTTAAAGAATATACTCGAAAAATCATTTTGGTTGTTCTGCCAAGTTTTTATCAGAACGTTTCCATGGACAAAGAAAAAGACAACAGAGAAAGTAACATCTCCCTCTACAATTACCAAAAGGCCTACATCTTGGAAAAAATGGAAATTATTTCTTAGTACATAGTGACCGGATTAATGATGATTATTTTGTTTTGTTTTTCTATCATAAATTTTTACTTTTTCTTTATGTTGGTTTATTTAAAAACTGTTTTTACTTTTATAAATTGTGTTTTGAAAAAATTAGCTCTTGTGTTGTCTTTCTTAACATTTTTCTTTTCGCACCTCTCTGTAATATTGAGCAACTGTCAAGGGATCGACATTACCATGCTGGCTCCATGAAACTGCAAAACTGAACTAGGCACCACGCAATCTGTACGGGAAGGATGAATAAATAATAGAAATGTACGAAAGCCGTGATCTGTTCGCTACAGAAAAGAACTAGTTTCTCTTCTTTGCTCAAATGTACAAAGAAAATGAAGCAAAGCTTTAGAAAACTTGGGTACGAGAATCATAAAATAGTGTTTAAAATGAAAAACTGTTTGCCTCAACCGTTGAAAGAAGTTACCTGCCAAAAATGGCCGCCGATTTTGAAAGGAAAGCAAAAGAACTGATTTGTATTGAATAAATTGCTCAATCAGTTGCTTCGACGAGATGCCGCCTGTATATATGAATACCTGGCCTAATTTTTTTTCAACGTTTTTCTGCTTATTTCCTTACAGAATCTATTTTTATCAAGAGACTTGATTGACACCTGAGTTACAAGGTGGTTTATTACCAGAAACAAGCATCTAAAGTTGAGAAAGCTTCATTATTTAGTCAGCCATATTTGGCTTTTATACATTTTTTCTTCTGCCAGCTAGATTTCAATAACTGTTTAAGTTACTTGCTATTGGCAGCTGTTATTGGCAGGTAACTTCTTACAACGGAGAAATTCTAGTTCTAGCCGTTTTTATGGACATTGGATGTAATCAGCCATTGTTCCATTTACTTACAAAACTGGAACCTGCTTACTGGTTACCCATTCACTAATTACTCATATACACGCGACACGGTATCTATAATGTAGATAGAACTCTAATACTTAATTATAAAATTATCGATGGAGTACTCACTAACCATTAGCGTCATCTATGTAGCAACAACACTTTTGATGGTTTCTAGGAAACAAGATTTTGGCAGTTGTACTCCCTCGCATCTCCTAAAAATGGAACTTCTTTCATTAAAACTTCTGCTAGTTCTTCTTGCTTCGGTTTAAGCAGGGATAAGTCTTACCGCCGCGACAGAGAACGCGTCGGAGTACGTTAGGTATTATTCATTCGCTACATCACGGAAATTCAAATTATTTTTCTCAAGCCTTTGATTAGTCTAGCACGTGTCAAATATCAAAGAGAAAGAGGAAAAAAATATTTCGTTTTATTATTATAATATTATTCATTTTTTTTCTATGCTACGTTGAGTAATAAATTGTAAATAAGAAAGAGAACAGGCTAAAACAAGATACAATGTTTAGGACCCTCCAGGCCTGCAGAACAGATATTCGTGTTTCGAATACACTCGTCTTTGCTTTCAGATTCTATTGGATTTATGTGTGTTACTTTTCTTGTTGGAAGATACTTGTTTCTATATAGGATTAAGATTTGTCATCAAGACTAGTCTCGCGATTGTTTTGAACTGCAGATAAATAGCATTTAGTTAAACGCAGTTTAACTCAAAATAAGGTCAAAGGATCTATCTCTGTGTCGATATAGCAATTTGTGATAATTGGCATGTACGTATCTTTTTCTCTTACAGTGATAATGTTTCTCTTTTTAAACTAAATATTTGTATTTTTCATTTTAGACTATGCAACCAATCACTTCGCCAACTATGTTCGAATTTAGTAAATAATAACTGCAAGGTGCGTACCTAACTAGATTTAGACACTAAAATTCAACTCGAAAAAGAATTATTATAGTTCTCTTCCTCTAAAACAATCACTTACAGCTTTTTAACTAGTGATACGAAGTTTTGTTCCCTAAGCGAGCAGTGCAATGAGGGATGGATGAAAATTTAAGTTTATTTTGTTCCAGATTGAATGATTAACACGACTAAACATGATATAAAAAAGAAAAGACTAGAGTTTTCCAGTTTAAAGAGCAAGGTAAGAAACAAAAAGAGCCACTTTTATAGGCGTATATTTGACATTTTCATATGTTAAGGCGATCGTGTTTTTCAAAAAGAAGAAAGGCGGAACAATTTGCAATGGCAAAAAACCACATCAAACGATCAGAGTATGCGGAAGCATTGATGATGTCTTTTTTATTTGTTGTCTCTTTATGTATCTGTCTTTTAGTGGTATCAACTGCCGCCGTCAATACACAAAAGACGCATTAAGTAGTAGTAACTTATCATCAAATGATTTATATCAACAATGTGAAATACTGAAGAAAACCATACAGACAATCAGTTTAAATAAACCAGAAGCATGGTATTATCGTCAACAACTATTAGAAGCGTATCAAAAGCTAATATTATTTGATCTTGATTATTCATTGGACAAAAAAATTGAACATGATTTATGGAATATTGTATTCAAAAGTCAAATTATAGATAAACAAGAACAAATAAAGGCGGACAAACGAAATATAAAACGGAATGAAATTCAAAGGAATTTACAATCGTTATATGAATATGCAAGAGGCTATTATATGAAATTACTCCAGGTAAATTTTCTATTTTAAACGCTAGTTCGCACTTACTCGTACGAAGTTTGAAACAATCTCGAAACCACTTAGTTGCTTATTCACAAATCGTGTGACGTGTTAAGTTAGTTTGGTTGGTTAAGTGTTGTACTCTAATAAAAAACATAATAGTTCTGAGATATCTGAAAAAATTTTCAGAAAAATAGAAATTTTAAAGGTCGAACTGACTCTCTTGAAATATAGCACAGGACCTTCGTTTTTTTCACGTTTTTTTACGTTAAAAAACAAAGAAAGGGAATAGAGAATATGAGTGTAGTGCCATATATGCAGTTCTGGGGTAGCATATAAAAGTTTTTTAGACAGATGAAAAAAAATTCTCATCGAACAATTTTTAGGCTTTAGACTTAATTTTTGTTCTTTAATTTCGATGCATATTCATCACGATAATTAGACAAACAATTTTTTAGTATATCAGATTAGAGCTTCTAATTTCGTAGGAGCTTAGACTAGATACAGTGCACCTTATTAAACTTTTGCTGCTGATTTAGTTTGTATTTAGCTTTCATTTTTATCACTAAGTTGAGTATTTTTCTTTTAGAACGTTGTACAATGTTATAACTTCAACATAACTATATGTAAACGTTATAATTTTATAAAAGTTCCACAACGTTTAACATCAACTGTCGGCACCGGTGAAAATTTTATTCGAAAATGTAAAGATGCATCGCTATTATATTTTATTCAACATATATTAGTGCACGTCGGTGATTTTAATCGTTATTCAAATCAAATCGATTTGGCTAAAAGTTTTTATTTGAATGCAATTCATATCATTCCATGTTTTGGTCAACCTTATAATCAAATTGGTATTTTATACGAAATGAAAACAACAACAACAACCGCATTCTCATCATCACTTGCGCAAAATCAGTTGACAACAGCCTATTACTATGTTCGTAGTATAGCAATTAAAGTCACATTTCCATTGGCCATAACAAATTTAGAAAAATTATTTACGCGTTTAAAGGATATATCCATACAGCATTACGCAAATGAGCAAAAATTGAATGAAAAAGAGTTCATAACATTATTTTTACAAATAATTGCCATGATTAATCTAGAACATAATTTAGATAAAGTAAAATTGTTTATAGATATATTAAAATCGACAATGATCGATACATTATCATCGTCAACATCGAATTTTGATCGAATAAGTTTATGTCAAATGGTTGTCATTGTTATGTTTACATTTCATCGTGCATTAGATCTATTACCATTGCCAACCACTCAACAATCACAACAGGATGATGGAATAACATCGACATCAACAATACGCTCATACTTAAAATCGACACAACAAGAAAAACAATATGATTTGACAATGACATTATTTGTGACGATTATTGAACAATGTTTAGAAGCAATACATTTACCATTGTCATTGATGGTTATTGATGAACATCATTTGTTACCAGCTCTCTATCTTTCATTTGCTTATCTAACATCGATAGATAAACAAAAATTAATAGCAATAAAAAATGACAACAATGTATTTGCACATCCGATATTTAAACAAAAAATTACATTTTGGACCAATCTAGCAAAGTTATTAAGATCATTTGGAGTTTATGCATCAAGTTTAAATACTAACAAGGGTAAAAAGCATCTAAAAATCGTTTTGTTAAGATAAGATTATGTGTTCAAGTTCATATTTGTACAAAACCGATTTTATGTTTTTCGATAGTTCAAATTTTAGAATTATGTAATAGATTTATTTCCACTTGAAATAAGTGACAAGAACTTCTTAAGTCATTTTTCACTAAAACGGCGTAATTGATTTGAATCGATCGCTGGAGTGAATCTGTCTGATTTGCTTGCAGAGATAATTATGCCTAAAGTTTAAGCCAGATCCGGAAGATATTGCACAACTTAGCCGGTCTGATTTCGAACGAAATTCACGGTTTTGTATAGTGCCACAACAGTTGTACAGAATTCTTTTGCTTTTTAGGAGTACCGTTACAAAATGCTGATGTTACAAACGCTTCTCCAGCAACAACAAATATCACGTCGTCATTATTTAACCGTTATACAGATTATCCTCTGAAAGAAGAGCAAATGTTAGAATGTTTTTTACCATTAAAAGATTTACTTGTAGCATATTCATTTAAAAAATATTCAAATGAAGCAATGTGTTTAAGTGAAAAAGATGAACGACAATTAAGAAAATTACGTTTTGTTTACATGATAAAATGTTTATGTCAGAATGGTTCTGTAATGATGAATAATCCAATTCAAAAAACGTCAATACTCTCGTCACAACAATCGTTTGAACATCTGAAAACATTTATCAAAGATGAGATCGTTTGTTTTGAGTCGCCTTTATTGCATGAACATTCGCTCGACAAGCGAACAATGCAGGTATCTTATTTATGCTCTTTTTCTAGACACTTAAAGAAACACGTGTTTTCTTGTTTGTTTTTATCATTAGGGTAATGCCAAAGACGTAGATCCACGATTATACAATCCTAATAAAACAACAAAACCTGTTCGTGGAGCAAGAAATGTAGCATTACGTCAATTTCTTGAGCCTGCCTTAGCAGCTGCTATTGCAGCTTCTTCCACAACCTCATCGGAAGCAGTTCCAGTGACAAATACTGTTGCGAAGTAAAATACTAAAAATTGTTTTTGCTATTAACCAACAAACTATCTTTAAGAAATGGAACGGCAACAGTGAACAATGAGTCAACAACATCATCAAGTCCGTTAACACAGAACAATATTCCGCAGTTAATGCAAATAAATACTGGGCTAGTGCAACACGGAGTTTCAGCTTTTCATCAATTAAAACCAGGTAGGTGGGTAGGTAATAGTCAAGTATTTTGAGAGTTGTATCTGTGGCAATCCATAAAATTCATTAGCTTCATGTATCTGGTGGGAATGATGACGGTATCTTACAACGGAAAAATTTATTTCCATGTAGTTTTTTATTCTGGCACATTTAGCGTTACGCGTCAAATGTGACTCTGTTCAGTCGTGGCCTCTACCACCACAATCATCAAGTGGTTATTCAGGAAATTCAAACTTTGAATTGATGTATGGGACTAATGTCGACAAAGAGCAACAACATAAAAAAACATTGCAGGAAGCACTTCGCTCTAACATTTCACCGCCGATGATAAGGCAACAAATGGATAATCGTCCACAAGATTCCAGTATGGGAATAAATCAAAATAGAACGTTCTTTTATAACGAAGAAATGCATAGTATGCTTTTTTCGAGTGTTTTCTTGAAGAAATAGAGAGCTATCTAGTTGTGAGCACTACCGATAAGCTTACAGTAGTTGAACTACGGGTGAAAAAACACTTCTAAGTCGTGATGTTCTCCGGACATAGCTATTCGAATCCATTAATAGCAATTCTGATAGAACTGATGGTTGAAAATCAAGATGGCTCTGTATTCTATCATATCTGTAGGGTTTTTAATTTCTTTGAATAATGACCTATTTATTTTAGCTAATATATTGCAATCTTATGGTGATAACAGCAATATGACTATGCATCATAATTCTGACGCTGATATTCAAACAAATTTGTTTCCTCAGCAAAACCGTATGTTGTTTTTTCCACCATGTATTGAAAAATATGTGAACAGCGATTTTATTCTTCTTGTAGAATCATATTTAGATAATGCTATCCCATCATATTCAATACTTGGTTGGCCATCACATCCCCAAACAAATGAGATAAAGGAATCAAAAGAAGCAGTATTTTTACATTCTAATGATTTAATGTGTGATGCGTTGGATTACAGGTACCAATAAAACCTGACAAATATATGAAACTTGCACTATCCATTTTAGACCAAGTATAAATTCTGTGTGGAGCAGTGGTGTCAATGCACCCTTACAAACGCAGTCTTCAATTCCTATGACATGCGCCAATACTGCAAATGCAAATAATAATTCAACAAATTCCTTTCCTTCGCCATTCATACAATCATCTTATCCGTATAGCCAAAACACATCATCTCAGTCATCATCCCGTCACTCATCTTTTACAAACCATTTCTCTCCTTCACATCTAAATCAAATGTTAGCGCCAGGTTTGATGTTCTCACATTTGCCAACGTCAACAACGAACTCAACGAGTTTATACACATCAAATTCAAATGATGCATTTAACAATTTAAGTGTTAGTCCGCCACCCGGAATAACGACAAATCGTTTAAAAGAATCAACACCAATCAGTAGAGAACATATGCATCTTAAAACAGTTCAACAACAACAACAACAACAACAACAACAACAACACGTTTTTCCAAGTATATTGTGGCCAATGCAACAACATCAAACACTCAACATAAGTATGCAGAATGGCCAAGAACAACCAGATTGAACAGGTGAGATAATGAACAGCATAGCGAAGAATAATTTCTGCAATATTGAACATATTTTGTTTAGACAATTGTTTATCAATTTTGGCATTGATTTCACACAGTAGGATAATGGTCTACAAGAAAATTAAAAATCTCATGCAAAGAAAGTTTTACTATTAATACAAATAAACAAAGTATGTCAATTTACAAATATAATGAATTAGAGTCGAAATTTCCTTTTATATGGGGAAAAAGAGCTCATTGGATTTCTTGCACTTAGATTTCTTTCGTATTTTGTCGAAACTAAAAATAGTGCTTTACTTCATCCAATTCTGTCTTTCTGCACATGGCATCTATGCAATATAAAAATACATCGATATTTTTAGTTTTTTATCACCTAAATCCTAATTGTTTTGTTGTCTACCGTTCGGGAACATCTAACTATAAATAGAAAAATGCAGAAAGAGGAAGATTAACTAAATTTTTCTAGTAAAAAAAATTGCTACTCACAAGCATACGCGAGTACAGTAGTCAATACTATTAACAACAAGATGATTAGTATGAGATGTCTTTAAATTGTTCACTTATCTCTGTTTCTGTTTGTTTACTTTTTTCCATTTTTGAATGGTGCTTTTTTTTCCTTGTTATGTTTATTTTTTTGGTTTTTTAACGCTATGAAATATAACAATAGAGAGATACTTTTTACATAGCAAAAAAAATGTTCAATTACTTTGTTATTTAATTTCATTTTACTAGCTATGTTGATGTCTTTCGTTTTGTAAAGTCATTCGTATTTTTTTTAAAAAATAATACATGCATAAACAAGATTTATAATCAATTATATATTTGATCAACTGACAACAAAAAGTTAACATAAATAAGTAAATTTTAGATCATCATTTTAAATTGTAATAGAATGTTATTCTTGTTTCTTTAGAAAAATTACACAAAACGATCCTTAGTTATCACTTCATAAAAAATAATTGAGTTTCAACGACAAATGTATAGTGACGTGTGCACAGTTTAAAATTTTTCTATTCTGATATTTTATAATTTACCCTGAAGTGTCAAATCTATCCGTAAAAATGCAAAACTTCCACCATGCTGACACTATGTCATTTCTAAAAAATTCTCCAATAGTGTCAGCATATTTTCTTCTGCAGTTACTTTTCCGTAAAAAGCTAAAGTTTTTTTAAAAAATTTCCTCAAATCAAAGACTTTTCTCCCCGATGGGCGTCGGAACAAACAAATGTATTCTGCAACTCTGAATTTACCATTATCAGATTTCATCTTATTCGCGTCTAAATTACTCGACTGAATTTCAATCGGAAATTTTTAAACTATGAAACTCAGTCTAAATAATCTGTACCATTTATTCTTCTTTTAAAAGGTATATTTAATCTACCTCTCATTAAAAATAATGATTGCCTCCAAAGAACAATTTTTTTGTATTTTGCTTTAAATAACTGACTTTTTGTTTCTCTGATATCCATGTGCACAAACATTATAAATCAAAAAAATACAAAAGAGAAAAAAGTTTCTATTTAATTAGAGCCATTTGCGAGTAATCTCTATGTTACTCTTTTCAAGTTCCTCTATTCTGAATAGTGATAAGACGGAATAACAACACGTTATTTCATTGTATTAGGTCTTTTGTCATATGAATTGTACACACAGCTTAACCCTTGCCTATTTGTTATATTTATGTATATCTCTCTTTTTCGTCGAATGTATCTCTCTATCTTTAATGTAATATGAAAACTATATTAGAATGGCTATCGGTCATGAATATATAATTATCTTCGTTCTCGTTGTAAAAAAAGGAGCACTAGCCCACCATAACGTAACAAACAGATTCTCGATAGAACTGTAAAACAATTTATTTTCTCTCAGGAAAACAAAAAAATATTGTCTTTTTATGTTGTACACGTCCAATTTTGACTACACACATACACACACACACACATATGTATATATGTATAAAACAGTACTAGTTATCGATCAAACATACACATAGACAACTCGCGAACTGAACATTTTTTATCCCATTTATACTACACTATCATACACTACTAAGGTTATAGAATTTGGGGTAGAGAAAAGAGAAAAAGGGGGGGGGTCCGTATTTATCTAATAGAGTGGCACAATAATTGTTTAAAAAACGATAACGAAAGAGGAAAAGAAAAGACGACCAGCGTCGAATAGACGCGTGTAATGCAGCGGCGATCTTTGAGATTCTCAATCATACATGCAATACATTGAGATCGACGTTAATAAAAAAAAAAGAGAATAGAGAATTGGACGAAATCCAACAAGCAAAAAAATAGTAAAAAAAAGAATTCCTTTGTAGTAGGATAATCCATGGATATTATTGAACAAAAAAATTTTCATTTGTAATTTACTACACAGATAGTGAAAAAGAGGAGAAGGCCTGCTTTCTACACCGGGCGTTTGGATTTAAGATCGGACAAAAAAAAATCTTACACCATCTTCCGGTGTAAATTGTACTGGCATTTGTTCATCGAGTCTTCTAGAATTAAAAAGAAATTAACCAGTTCACGTAAGTATAATACCTTGTGGATGCAGTGACAAAGTAAGATAAATGAAATTTATCTTCTATATTTTTATAGAATTTTTTAACCATCTTAAAAGACTTAAATCGTTTTTATATTAAAACTAGAAGAAATATATGTGTATTAATTATTAAGCTCATCGTCATATTAACTGGAATGAGATTTGTGTCGTTTTGTTCCGAAAAAAACATTTTTATTCTGTTGAAGGTAAAAACAAGTAGAAACTTTTCATCTTATTAACGGAGAACATCCTGTACTGTATAATTATTGTGAATTGACAGAAATTATAGACGTATTGACAGATCATAGACGTTTATTTTATCATAAAGCAAAATAATGAACTGTCTACTTTTAGTTATACTCAATTTCGATTCTACTTCACTAGTAAGTCACAATCATTGGCAGGTCGCCAACAGGACAATTGGCAGGGCAACTTTCTAACGGTCATTATATAAACTTTAATCAAAACAATTGTGAACCCAAAATATCTTTTTGATAATCGGACCGGACTTTTGGCTTAAGTCTAACAGAAAAGTAAAGTAAGGAATAGTAAAAGATTTTGCACATGTTCTAGGATAGTTAGAGGTGAATGTCTGTTACCTTTTATTATCATCTAATTGGCTTCGTAAGATCGAACAACATTAAAGATGGCATCAAAAGTGAGAGTGAGCAATTAGGGACGAATCGAGAGGTCACGAGAAGATGCTTTTCAAACGATACAAAGCTGTCTATAGAAGAAAAATAATATGTAACGGGTGGCGCATAAATAAACGCACTCCCGTATTTTGAATATAACTCCGCCGGCTTTTATCCTATCGATCCAAATTTTTTTCCAAGAGATTCCTTATTGAATTCTCTACAAAACCATGTCATAA